AGAAAAACATAGATGTGCTCAGCTTGTTTATGTTTAGAGAGACCCAGTCTCTCTTATCCCGGCACACAGGCCTCAACTCCTATCACATACATTTTGCTCCAAAACTTGCACAGCCTGCCAGTCCCGTTCAGAAAAGAGTATTCGGTAGTAAATCTCCAATTCTTTAAACCTAAAGGAATCAGTTTAGGCTTGATTTCCGTCATTAAGGATCTACCGTCATGAAGATAATATACGCGAGACTTTGCTGGGAAAATCAGTTCCTGATTTTCGAAAGCTATCATTCTATCAATAACATCGGCGTTGCCATTGTGTAGGATACTACAAAACACAAAAAAGCAATTGAATCCTATGGCGCGAGTGCACTTTTGAAAGCAAAGCGATGTGGAGCTGTTCAAATAACTACCTTTACTGAGTAACCCGCATGGGGTTATCGGTAGTAGTGCTCACGAACATAGCATTAATTTTAGAAAGGTCACCTGTCGTTAACTTAGCACCACAAGTTCTTCTCACCGCCATTGCCACAGACATATTGCAATGTTTGGCATGGTCCTATTCGCGATTTTGACAATCACTTCGGTACCACCTTCGTTTGGCACCATAACCTGCTCCTGTTCCCCTCTACAAAGCTGACGACGCCAAGCTAGCACTAAATGGCGTCGGCACCAAAAGCTGAAGTCGAATTTTGAAATAGGGCACTGAATAACCCTTACAAGCAGGTTTTGGTGGAACAGGTTGCAGCACCTGACTAGCGCCACCGTCGGCAATGAGTGATATGATTGATATAAGGACAACATTAACATTCTGCTTAAGAGGTTTTGTGCAATTTGCCTCCTTGTGGTGCTGCAATATGGCAAAAGAGTCAACACTGGATTCTTATCAGGATAACACCAATTCCCTGGAAGGGATTCGCTAATGTATGTGGCCTTAAGAAGGCTATTCCGTTCTCCAGTCCTCAGCCACGAAATCTACACTTTGTAGTTCACGGAAATAACAACGATCATTGCACACCTCAAAGAACCAAACAGAAAGTCGGAAAGCAGGAGTAGCTTTCAATTAGAATTGTTTCGCGGACACGGTCGAACGTCTACGCCTCGCCGAGAGCCGCGCCCATATGTTAGCTGACTTACAAGTCTGGACCCTCGGTGGGGTGAAACGACACGTCACATGCCTGACAACCATAATCAAAATTTAGGTTCTGTGCTAAGAAATCACCATGGGCAAGTGTGATATTCCCCCGACGAAAATTCCCCCTATAGGGGTCTCGGGTAGAACTCTTGTCGCTCTCTCAACGAAGGGTTAGTCTGCCCCGCGATCAGCAAGCTGATAGTGAGAGGCTGATCGCGCAGCTACGAAAAATGACAACAGACGATCGGAAAACTTTCAGTATGCCGTTGGCGATCAAATTGCGCCAAGGTATTTTCAAACCAAAACTTCCATGAAACTGTATACAGGTTATTTGGGGTAAATGGCATGAACCACAACATTCATTTTTTCCAGCTGCTCAACTAGCGCCTGTTTTTCGCTCGTCTGCGACCTCTCACTGATCACCTCGCGATCGGGACTAAGCCTTTGAGGAGGAGAGTGCTCCGAAGAGAATAACACTTAGCCTGTGATCTTATACGCTTTAACGTTTGCCACATGTTGACTGGTTCACGGCCCTGCCGGCTCCCAGACTTCCCCTAAGAAACATATGGCGCGCGCGCGGCGAACGCGACCGATTCGTTGTGCCTGCGTACGCGTGTGAAATGCACCAGTGCGGCCTGCGCCGACCTTCATCCCCTCGCTGTCGGAACTGTTGTCTGTGCCTTGAGTTTGCGGGCACCATCACTCGGCCGCGTCGGCCGCGGCTTTCGCCCAAAGGTTAGGTACTGTCTGGGAGCCCCCACCCCGAAGTCCTCCCTCTTTCTAGGCTTTGTCCTAGGTATTATGTACAAGTAGATGGCCCAGGAAAATGGAAAATGTGCGTTGAACGGTGGAAATGCTAAAAACGAATGACATAATCCGTAATCAGAACATAAAATAACCCCTGTATATAAGTTTACAGCGAATTTGGTGAAAATAGCCCTGGCGCCAGATGGCGCCAACGCCGAAAATGAGTTCCACTTTCGTAATCAGGGCATCGAATAACCCTATAGCGAAGTTTCGAGGAAATTCAAAATTTTGAGGTTTTGGGGTTGTAATAGTTGAATAGTGCCCAAACCAGATAGTTTCCGACGGAGAAGTATCAACAGCAAAATGACCTTAATAAAGTCAATGAAATAACTTACTTCCATTTGGGTGTGTATTGTAATCGTTTCTGGTAAAGGAGATCTTCTGAGAGACCTGAAAATCTGAATATAAGCTTCTTTCATAAACTTCATTGAACGAACATGTTAACATAAGCTAGCAAAATGTTAAAAATGGAATTCACTTACTATTCCTGATCCTAGTTGACGATAAAGAAAGAATATAGGAAAAGTGGTGAGGAATACAAGAAGCACAAAAAGGACCCACACGTTCGTTTTCATTACGAACAAACTGCCACAGGGACAGAGTAGAAACTAACTAATAAAGCAGAAAACACCATTATCCCCCACGCTGTCCCCTGGCCGACAGAGCACCCGCTAGCAGCACACAAACCTTAAAGCGTGCCGTAGTAATACGTTGTTCCATTTTCCGATTGCACCGATATCCTGGTACAGTACCTCGAAAATGCATCAAGAATTGTCGATGCCTCAACTAGCCGAAAAAAAATCGATAATGGGCTCCATTGATGTCCTAATCTGCGTGGGAATTCGCCGTGCGCCATCTCTTTGATTGTTATTGGTCATATCATATCACCAGTCGTTATGATTAGATCGTTTCAGTCTTGCAAGATGTGTCGCTGATCGAGTTTCTCAAGTAATCTACTTCGCAATGAATTTTAACAACGGTAATCATCCGTCGACAGTCGATGCTGAACTACCATGTGTGTCAAGGTAGGATTATTTTATTAGCTTGCTACTCTGTTTCATGCTTTGGCGGTTTCAGTTTCAATGTTCTTATGATATTTGATGTTGACACCTAGTTTAAAGTTTGTGTTTCCAAGCATCCCAGCTTGACCTGGGCCTGCATTAAAGTCATCTATCCTATTGATTTACGTCTGGCTTGGTGTCGACAACTAAGTTCGGTCATGCCACAAGAACGCCTCTAGAATCAAAGAAAAGGGTCTCATTCAGTATGGGCATGTGGTGCTACAGTTACAGAAATGAGTGTTTGTAAGGAGAGCCAATCTCCAAGGTGTGTAAACCATTTCGTGTCCGTTTCTACACCTTCACAATTTCACAAGGTTCTCAGACTTCTCTCTCCTGTGAAAAGTTGTATTACTATAGGCGGCAGCAAGTCATACCACATTTCCCCTCTTCTTTCTGAATTTATTTAAAGTAAAAACATTCAAAAAACGGCAAAGCCAAAGTAGATCAGCTTTATAAGTAGTATTAAGAATATTTTCACGCCTTTACCTTCTTGATACTATTCTTTTGAGGTATATATAGTGGATATGACAAAGTAGCAACGAGAACCTATTTCCTTGACTGACGTTCTTTATAGCAACGCTGTGGAATGGGTGGAGATTGTGGAGCCACAGACGAAGCAGCACATGTACGCCAATCTGATATCTGGGCAGTGCTCATGGGAGCCTCCTCCTGGGGCGTCAGTGTAAGAAAATGTTTCATTTGTTTATTTTTGTGACTCATTGCCGCTCACAAAAACAATACTCCTGTCATCTTGCGTATAATGTTTGCCATTAGTGGCTAAGGAATGGTTATCCTTCTTTCGTTTGAAGAGCAATGAAACGGTCATTTTTCTTTTGATTGAAGAAAGTTTTGATTTTCACTTCGTTAACCACAGCTGTCATCCTACAGTGTTCCTCTGAACATCATTTCCTCTAGTCTGCTTCGCAGAGTGTAGTATTTTGTTTACTATTCGACATAAAATTTACGGCTGCATCTGAATGGCTACATTGCATATGCGATGGGGATGAAATAGCAAAACATAATGCAGCCGTTCAGATGGTGCTATTGTTAGTTGTGTTGGTGGGCGGGAATAATTCGAGGTGTTTGTTGGTTATTCGGCCGTGTATATGGCTTTTCTTTTGAATCCCAGATTGCTTCCTTATCGCAAAAATAACTACTTTTTAGGAACTTTCTGTGTCCACTTGTTACTTCACTCCAGCATTCCATTTTTCTGCTGCAGTTTCTTGTTTTACTTCCTTTATTTTTAATCTTTCACCTTTTGAATGACTCTCTTCTCCTAAGTAACCTTAGGTAAGGTCTTTGCTGAGCACTCAGACTTTCTTTAATTGACCCATATCACAACCAGTTTTACGGTGCGCTCACTGTAAACACCAGTGTAAGTTTTGCAGGGGTCTGCACTTGATGCACGGTAGTATAATTCTTTGCCATCATATAGAGGAGAGTGTCTCTGAAGGATAGCGCACTTTCTAGGGAAAGCAAGTGATAAAAAGCTCTTTCCTACTACTAGGTTTTAGATCTGGTTTTGATTATTTTTCTTGCCAAAATGCGTCACTTGTGTACAATCCCTGGTAAATCGGCAGTTTAGTTCGGTTAAGTGACCTTGGCTCGTCGGCTTTTGAGGTGATCGATTCACCTATGTTTGCACTTCCAACAACGTTTTGGACACATCAGCCGGCTAGGCTGTATTGTTCTTAAGAAGTGGTATTCAGATGAGGCTTGTCCGTTGACTACGCTAGAAATTTCCATTCTACCCCTGAAAGTGTTTCCTTCAGAATTTCAATTCGCTGCATACTCAGCCAACTGCCAGAGGGGCAGTTCGTGTGGCAGCCATATCCTACTTTTCGAATCATTCCATTTGCACGTAAACGTTTCGGAATACCCTGCTCAAGTGCTTCTAGTTTGTCCACAAAATCATTGATTGCACTTCATTGTAACTGATTTTTTTGGCTAGGGTGTCTTTTCATTCGCCAAACCATCACTTTCAATACGATGAAGCCAATGTTGACAGGGGATGCGATAGCGTGGTCAGCATAGCTTCTACACAAGTTTGGTGGGCCAGTGAAGCTCCAATCAAAAAGGTGGTTGTCGAGAAATACATTTATGAGCATTCCATTTTCTTGCATTGTAATCAACGAAGAATGCTGACGATACTTTTGTATTGTAGACTAGTGTAGAAATTCAGGTGTAGCAGTTTTATATTTATTAAATAATATATACTACCAATATATGTCACCCTTAAAATTATCCCCTAATGAGTGTTCGCCGTGTTCTAAAAGAAAGTCCAGAGTCTTGTCTCTCTTTGAGTCTAGTCATGCTTTCGCGCAGTCTGCGATCACGCCTTTTTTTCGTGGAGTCGATACGTACCCTCGACAACCGCTCACATGGAAGGATACGTAACTTCTCTATACCTGAACTGCAAACCGAACTGCAGAATTATGTCCTGCCTACTTATACTTATACGGTTTTTTATGGTAATAAACGGAAACGTGTATTGTAAGGCGCCCACGCGTGTGTCATGTGCGTGAGCCTGCGCAGGACTTACAAAAGCTGTCCTGCATGATGTCCAAAAATTATCCAGTTTAGTTGAGATGGACGTCAAGATTAACCTTTCCAAGTACCAATTTGAAAAAATTGTTCTGCATGGAACCACCAGTAATACGTGAGAAGGACACCGCAGTTGTGATGCGTTCTGAGTGTTGGTTCCTTTGTGTTGTGGTAAATTGCTTTAATGTATTGACGTCTCATGCGTCATCAATTCCCCATTACAGGAAGCGCACGCATGAGAATCAGTGGTGGGGAGCTGTTTGACTCGAAGACAGGTCGCTATTACTACTACAACGCTTCATCAATGAAGACGATCTGGCAACGACCGATGGGACCCGAGATTGACATCATCCCTCTTGCCAAATTGCAGACCTTGAAAGAGAATACAGAAAGCTCAGAGCATGCACGGGTGAGCTCATTCGTGACTCTCTTCCACTTTGAGCTTTTTTGACATTACAACTGAGGTTGATTTGAAAGTTCAGGTGCGACGAACTTGTGAAACTCAAACGTCGCCGGCCATTCGTCGAGTAGTTCTCGGGTGGATCTCGACCGGCGTGAATTGCCCAAATATCTGGGCCTGATGGCGGGTGTTATCTGACTAGGACCTGCGGAGTCGGTCTCCCCCGAATTGCACTTATGAATGGCCACTGCAGCAAATCTTCCGACTGTTAGTCATCCATCAGCAGTTGCTACTCAACAGCCATCTTTTCCTTCTCTGCAAGCGTGCCAATACTTGTGGCTTGCGCTCCGTCAAAGTAGGCTTATCCGCTATCTGGTGTTGTATCTGATTATTTTTTATTCAGTGGATGTCACTTGATGATCAAAGCGATAGCCTCTCAATTGGAGACCGAGGTGATTACCGTGACTATAACCGGGATTTCGGACGATCACCGCGTCAGTTTCCTCCGTTTCCTACAATGGGAACGACGTCAACTATGTCAACTGCTCCTTCTGCGGATTCTATTCCACCGCGGTCGTCAAGGTGACTTCAAGCTCAACTTGTTTGTTTTCCTTATACCCGCTTCTGCTTCCAGCAAGTAACTGCTCTTTTTCGTTCAGGTCCTCAAGTCCGCCAAACCAAAAACGACAGTTGTTCCCTACGAATACGGGTCCAAAAAAGCCCACGAACGCCGGTGGTATGTAGATGAAACTATGTTTCCATTATAAACTTACCAATGACCACTGTTGGCAAAGTAATCTCATACATTACCAGGTTGGGCCAAAGAAGCACCTAAGCAACCTTTGTCAGCGCCAGACAACAAGCAGCTTAAGAAAGAGTCGCCAGCGATTTTCAAGCTTATTCAAGGATATATGGGAGATAGGAAAAGCAAGACACCAATCGATCAGGTTGGTTCCGTTGCTCCGCATAAGGCTTTTTTCTTTTATTCCCCTTTTGCAATAAATTTCAATGAATTTCTGTTTGCTTTTGGTTCATTGTTCTGCTTTAAGCAAGCCTTAACCTTGTGCGAGCTTGGACTTTCAAAGCAGGAGTGTGCAGATGAGGCCGTAGCTCAACTCATGCAGCAGCTTACCGACAATGAGCGCCCTGATAGTGTTCGGTGAGAAAATTGGTTTTTAATCTCTTAGTTCGAAATTTTTTATTGATGTTGAACACCAACGTGTGAAATAAGTTTCACCTCATAGAATTGTTTGTTTAGACGCGGATGGGAGCTGTTGGCGATACTTCTAAACTTTGTCACTCCTTCTGAAAAGCAAACTGCGTCTCTGGCAGAATTCATTGATAGGAACTCTGAGAAAATTTTCGATAGACCTGAAGTGGGTTTTCCACATTTTGAATGCTTAGATGGCTATCGTATCGTTTTGTTGTTTTTTTATTCTCAGTGGCAATATCTTGATTATATTTGGTCCCACATGAGTGGTCATGTGCCGGTGGCAAGAGGGGCGTGAGTGGACGTGGGCGGGGTGTGCCACGAAATTTGCAACTCAGTTTCTACACATCCGGAGATCGGGAAAAAATGCTCAGGTGTTG